CCATAGGATGGACATTCAGCAAAATATAGCCTTGCAACAACAACATAAAGACAACTGTAATGTCTGCGAGCATGGGGCAAAACAGAACCACAGGTCCTCACTGACTGGACAAGCACACACACTCATTTATATCATTTCTCAATAACTGTTTCCAGTTGGACCAGCTTCTACATATATCACACAGACACATGTTACAGCATGAGTGCATGTTTTTAACATATAAGTGTAATTTCTGGATCACCCATTCAGCACTGCTCTGATACAAAGTCATAGTAGTATATGCACCCTGCTCTCTGCCACTCTTCCTTTTTTTAAAACAGTTTGTTTTCTTGTCCACAGTTAAAGTGTTTCAGAAAATTTTGCCAATTTAGTGTGTGAAGTGTAAAATAGCTGAGCTGAGGTAATAGATTGACTTTTCATCTGAATCATTATTGACTGAAATTAAGGTCCTAATACTGAATAAAAGATTAAAAAACAATGAACCTGTGTAATAATACTGACAATAGAATAAAGTCAATTCAAAGTTGCTCTGTTGTCACTTATTGGTAGTGATTGTTTGGCCACGTGACAGCAGTATTTATTTTTTTATTTAAAAAAGAAACCCAACAATCTTCACCCTCCAGGGCCAGTTTAGTATCACCAATTAATCAAACTCCATGCAGGTCTTTGGTCTGTTTGAAGAAACTCTGAGAAACTACCCAGTGAGAACCCCCACAGACACGGAGAGAACATGCAGACTCCTCACAGAAAGGGTCCAAACAGCAGGTGGATTCAAATCCTGGAACCAGAATAAACCAGGAAATAAATGAATGTGTATACTTCGTCTTTCAGAGGTGGATTGTTTTTGATTTCCTGATTTTGAACCTGTACGATGGTGGTAGGTGGTAGAGCCCGTCACCTACTAACCTGAAGGTTGGTGGTTTGATCCCCGTCCGCTCCATCAGAGTACGAATGTTAGATAGGAATCTCTTACATGGAGAAAGAACCTAGAGAAAATATGCTTGGGTGAAAGAGGCAAATTCGAGTACTCAGAGTACAATAAGAACTGGTCCATTTACCATTTACACACCAAACTGTATCCCAGGTTACAATCAGAGCAGCCCCTTCCTCCAGAGGATGTTTTGATGGCCAACCCTCATTTGTGAAGTCCATCAGTATGTTTCTGCCTGTTCAGTCTGTGCCCAGACCAAGTCACTGACCTCACCACCTGCTGGTTTACTGGTCCAGACAGCTGCGGTCCTACATCATGGTAGATTTCCTCACTAGCCTCCAGGTAAAGTCACCATACTAACTATTGCAAACTGTTTTTGCAAGGCTGTGTATTTTGTTTCTCTCCCTAAGCTTCCTTCAGCCTTAGAGACCTCTCAGCTTTTGTCAGATCATGTCTTCATGTTACACATGACAGAATCTCCGCAAAAACTTTCCTTCGCTTCCCGCGAACTCACAAGAAGTAAAGAAAGCAGCAGCACTTCTGTAAAGTAGCTCAGACAAGCAGCATCAGGAGATTCTCCAGCTATAACCTAATGCACGGAGGGGAGGCTTATGTGACAGCTAGGGAAGTCAGGTGACCGGAGGCTGCAACATGCTCAGACAGCACCTACTACTTATATATGACCAACTAATGTGATTGGGCAGTAATTAGCAGTGAAATATTAAATAAAATATTCATTCTGTTAGAGTCTGACACACAAAGTAAACTCCACCCTCTTCCCTGTTTTTCTTCCATGTGTGTGTGTGTGTGTGTGTGTGTGTGTGTGTGTGTGTGTGTGGAATATAGATTGAGACATTGTTACACTGTTACATGTTTAAATGCACTGAGCTGCTGTGATGTGATTGGCTCCTCACATATTTGCATTAACAAACAGTGGGACATGTGTACATAATAAAATGGCCAGTAGGTTTGTACTGTGATTAGAACAGTTACTCTTTTATCACATGTTGCATGTTGATTCTTCATAAATGTGCATTTATTTAAATCTCACTGTCTCCGCTTTCTGTGGAGGGCACAGATGAGGTCATAACATCATTACATTGTTAATGAAAGCATCACAATTAAAAGTATGCAGAAAATGAAATTTGAAGTTAATGATAATAATTGTGTAAACTACACTTTAAAAGTGGAGATATAAGTATTTCATTTCTAAAAATAAATATATAAAGTTAGTTTGTACTATGTGATCTGAAAGTACCAGATGCTTTCATGATCTTTCAGTGTTGGAGGGCTTGTTGTTGCCATTAAGTGTCAGTAGATGGCAGCACCAGGCTGCAGTTTAATCTTGATCATCAGAGGGACATAGCTGATCTGTGTGTGTGTAGTCCCCTCATCCAAACTAGAGAAGATTGTGCATGAATATTAGTCATCATGCACAAATTACTCTCCTGTTTACCGGCTTAAATAAATCATCTCTTTCACCTCCAAGCGATCCTAAATGCTCCTGACACGCTCTAGCAAGAAAACTCACATTATTGCATTTTTATTCCCCAACCCTGAATTGCACAACTGGAATAAAAACGGATGGTAAGATGGATAATATATAAAAAGTTTCAGATCACATAACATCTGCAGATGTTTTTCTTTTTTCTCTTTTTTAACACAGTTTAGCCACAGCAGTGATTCTTGATATAAGGGACAAAACATGTCCGGCAGATAAAACCCAATTTTGTGGTTAAAAATATGCATACAAGTGTTAACCCAACTGCCTAAAAGACAAACCAAGGCAATGTTTATACAACAAAACTATGATTTTGCATTTTTTATAAATATATATTTATTTTAAATGGTACAATACATTACCAGTACCTTAAAAGTCCATTGTCCAGAAGCAGGTGTGATAATATTAAAATACAGAAAAAAAATTAAAAGTAATGTAAAAGTAAACATCATGGCTCTCGTCACTAAGTATTTAAGTCAATACCTTATATAATATCAAAATATGCAATTGAAAATTAATTTTTAAATATTTTTTAAGTGATTAAAATCGTGTCCAGAGTTTTTGTCAACACCGTCAGATTTTTTCAAAAGTACAAAAAAATCAGGAATTATTGTGGGCAGCTTACACTCTGAGGACCCCTTTACCACTTCCTGTTTGATACACATGCCATGAGGTCACTGCTGTGATAATTTGTTTGTTTTTATTTCATTTATGGCATACCTTTCTGATAAAACTCTGTGTCACAACCATAGTGCATCAACACCAAAGTCGATGTAAACCAAGATTTAATTATTTTTTTTGTAATAAGAGCTTAATTTAGGTAGATTGTAGAGGCCATAAGCAAATGATGAAAAACAAGATGGCTTTTGTCAGAAAAACATGTGTTATGAGAGAAAGTCGGGTATTTTGTCAACACCATCAGGATTTTTGTCTGACAGTGTTCACCCTTTTTCTAATGGTGTTGACAAATCTCACAAAAGTGTGCTATTCACCATTTATGTTAAGTCATTTTTTATTAATATTTCAGACATATTACTTCCTGTGTATTTTACTGATATTTCTGCTTCACAGATGTGTCAAATATTATCAAATTTGCCTTATCTTGAATCTCATTGTTTATGTATACATTATTAATCCTGTAGGAAAATGCTTAGTCCTCTGCATTTAACCCATTCACTCAGTGATGCAGTGGGCAGCTACAAATCCAGGTTAGCCTCTGTTCATTGGATTTGGATTAAGCCTGTTGTGCTGTTAAAATGTTTTAATGCTTTTTATCTTGTTCTATTACATCTGAATTTAGACAGGTTGTAACTCTCAGTGATGCTGCAGAGTTCCTTTGACTTTGGGATCTGCAGCCCAGGTTGGACCTGGAAATGGCTAATGACATCAGACTTAAAGACCAGATAGCATTTCTATTGCTTAATGCATAATTGTGTTGTGAATATTCATCCTTAATCTGTGAAAAAGCATAAGGTTCAGAAAAAATATAGTAATTAAAAAAATGGTACATTTCAGGCTAGAATAGCAAAGGGAAACCTGTCAGTAGAGGAATGAAAGAGAGGGAACAGGGATGATCAAAAAAGGAGAGAAAAAATTAACAGCCAGCCTGAGTTGAAGAAAGAGTTTCTCATAAAGGAAAGATGGAGAAATAGAGTGAAAGAGGGAAAAATAAAGAACACCAGTGATCTGAAAGGAAGAGAAAAAAGTCAGAAGAGAAGGTTTTGGAAACAAGCACAGAGAGTCAAAAGGAGAGAGAGTACAGCAGGGTCTAAACACACAACCACAGAGTACTTTAGGAATCAAGGAGTAGTAGGCAGCTACTTTCTGGTGAACTATTAAGATGTAGAACTTGACATGTGCAAAAACAGAATTGTTATGATGTGTCTTGTGATATTACAAAGGTTGCTAAGGTTTAATTTTCATTTTGAAAGAAATAATATCTTGTTTTCTACTAGAGTGTCACCACCGTCAGCACCTTGTCAACTCCATAATATGGAGTTTTTGTTTATTTTTCTCTTTTGGAGAACCATATAGTTTCCTCCCTCATGATCTTCCAATAAAAATACGTAATTTTCTCAATAAATGTGTAATTTGCATGTTGCTTAATATGATTGTTTCTTATACAGATTAAATACAAGCTTCTGAAAATATGTATGACTGTAACTCTAATAATAAAAAGCCAAAACAATCTTACTTTTAAATATGGTATAATTACTTTGAAAACATATGTGCATAAACAATAGAATAGAGAAGCTGCTAATAGTCAAAATAGCTGAAACAACTTAATTTAAAATATATATTTTTGCATTTCTTTGTGTCTGACGGTGTTAACAAAAACCTTGCACTTCTCCAGCAAAAACATAAATTATTAAAAAATGTTACACCTGGAGATTGTACCAAGACATGGTGAGACTTTGTGTAACAATTATATGTAAATATGTTTTTGAAATATCAAAAAATATATTTTAGAAAATGAAAACCTGTTTTGTCCCTAATCTCAGGAATCACTGACAGTATACATAAAAATCTCAGTAAAATATAGAAGTCTGCTCACACACCCTTATTTTTTTAAAAATTCATCTTGAACCATGATGGAGACAAAGGACAGCAGCTGTACATTTTTGCCTCTTCTTGCTTCTCTTTGATGTCGATTTCTCCATGAGTGACATCTTCTGTTCTCACTGCTGAGTCGACTGCAGCTGCATCACTCTCTGCACAAGAAAACACATAAAGCGAGCATCAGTGCATCAGTGCAGGCAGTATCCTATAGATACTGCTGCTGTTACATTAACGATGACATAAAAATCATTCAGATTAATTATGCTCCACCTTTTTGTGCAGGACTCAAATGGGACATGATAGAAAACTGATCAGGTCCAGCTGTCAGGTTGTTGTGTGCGGGCGAGGAAGAGATGACCCAAACGCAGGACTCATGGTGCAGAATGATGAGGATTTATTGGAGCGAGTGAAAGAACAGAGCAGGAACGACAGGACTGACTAACTGACTGGAAGACTGAATGGCTGGCTGAACAGCTGAACAACTGAACACAGGCGGAAACGACAACAGTGACAACATCAATGACACGACGGTGAAGGAGTGGAAACAGAAGACTGATGAGGATGATAATGAGAGACCGGTGAGCACACAGCTGAAAATAATGTGGCTCACGACACATTAGACGAGCTTACACAGGAAACAGGAAGTGAAAAAACATGGATGTGGCAAAATCTGTGCTCTCCTCCTGTCTCATTCCCTCATTATCCCTCAGTGTATTTAAGGCCTGTGTTTCTCTCTGTCACTGTTGTGTCGTACCTGCATTACGCTGAGTGGTTTTCCCTCTGAATTGCTGAAGGTTAGTTTTGCTCTAAGTCTGGTTAGTTTCTCTCATTCATGTCACCCAGTTTCTTGTTTTCATTATAAAGTTTACTTTCTATTTGCCATTTTTAAGGTTTTGGTTTGTTTGTGAAGTTATTTCTGATGATGCAATAAAGCTGTCGCTTTCAGTTCATCCCTCTGCATTCAGTGAGTCCTGCATTTGCCTGCCACACAGCACACCATGACAAGATCAGGCTTTGAACAGTAAACACAGCCACACATCAGAAGACAGAAAAATGAAAAAGCAGTAAAAAGCCAGTGGCATGGAAAAATAGGAGGGAGAGAAACAGCTAAACCTGGCATGTGGGGTTCTTTTAAACCATTGTTTCCTAGATTCAAGCACGGAGTGTGAAGGGTTATTTTTGTCATTATAATTTAGTTTTATTTTCATATCAATCATAACAGCTGTTGCCTAAAGGTTCTTTCTATTGTAAAACCCTATAAAATGACCCCTGTACAAGCAAACACTAGGCAACAGTGGGAATGAAAAACTCCCTTTTTAACAGGAAGAAATCAGCTAGAACCAGGCTCAGGTGGGAGCAACCATCTGCTGTGACTGGTTAGGGATGTGTGGATGAAGACAGGACAAAAGACACATGGAAGAGAGCCAGAGGTTAATAATAATTAAATCCAGAGAGGTGTATGAACACATAGTGAGTGAGAAAGGTGACTGAAGAAGTAATACTGATTGCGTCATGGTAATCCCCCAGCAGCATACACCTATTGCAGCAAAACTAAGGCAGGATTTAGGGTCACCTGGTCCAGCCCTAACTATATGCTTTAGCAAAACGGAAAGTTTTAAGCCTGATATTAAAAGTAGAGATACTGTCTGTCTCCTGAATCCAAACTGGAAGCTGGTTCCACAGAAGAGGGGCCTGAAAACAGGAGAAATATGCTCTCTCTTTCTAGTCCCTGTCAGGACTCTTGCTGCAGCATTTTGGATTAGCTGAAGGCTTTTCAGGGAGTTTTTAGGACTGATTGTATACTGAGCATATACTTTCACAAGATTACTGCTACGAAACATGAAGATGGACCTGAATAACAAGGCTGTATTTGAACTGATGACTACAGACCTGCTTTCATGAAACCCCCCGTAACCACAGAAAAATGCAACAGGATGTCAGAAACTCAAGAAATTATTACATCTCCTCAAGTGAACTCGTAATGAAGTATTTTTGAGTAATAAAAAGAAGTGAGCAGATGCAGTTTTTGTCCAGAACTTTTAAATAATTTAATACAGTCTTAATACTGTGTGTGTGTGTGTGTGTGTGTGTGTGTGTGTGTGTGTGTGTGTGTGTGTGTGTGTGGTGTGTGTGTGTGTGTGTGTGTGTGTGTGTGTGTGTGTGTGTATTAACATCCCTGAGGAGCTGACGAGTTTTCATCAATAAAAGGAAAGTGGACGACCACAGAGCTGTTAGTCTTTGTTATACACAGGGTGAAATACACTGTTTGGAGCACAAAGAACAGCACTCACTGCTAACAGATACTGCAAACACAGAACAACTACTTAGTGATCTATATATACTGTAGGTCTTTGACTAAGCTTTTAAAAATGGTTTAAAAAAGCAGGAGAACTGGAGCTTATCCTCTCTGGGATAGCGTGAAAGGCAGGTTGCACACCAGACAGGTTTCCAGTCTGTCACAAGACTAAAAAACACAACTTAACAATCTATCCAATTTGAAATCACTAGTTAACACCTATCATGTCTTTAGACTGTGGGAGGAAGAACTCACTCAGCACAGTGAACTGTTTAAACTGCACGTTAGTGTGAGGTGAAGTAAAGATAGTCTTCTTTGCAGTGGAAAGTTTTAAACCTTGTGGTCTGAAACCATGAAAGCAGGTCTGTGATGGTTATTGCCACTTAGAAGAACAACCAGAATGCTTTGCAGTCTGTTACTTCCTCATACAGACCTTTATTTTGTCTCATTGCTGTTTTGGGCCTCCTCTTGAGCCAGAAAACAATCAGAACATTTGATATTGGCACATTAAAACCCACGAACGTTGTTCTAATTATTTATTTAATACCTGAAATTTTGTAATCTAAAGAGTACTTTGTGGGCAGCACTTGCCATGGTGGTTAGCACTGTTGTCTTACAGCAAGAAGGTCCTGAGTTCAATCCTTTTGAATGTTCTCTCTGTTTTTGTGTGGATTCACTCTGAGTACTCCTCCAAAAACATGCAGTTAATAAGATAAGGTTAACTGATTATTCTAACTTGCCACATAGGTGTGACTGGTTGTCTGTCCATGGTGTACCCCACCTACCTGGGATAACCTGCAGACACCCTGCTTCCTTAAATTGGACACGCAGAAGAGAATGGATGGACAGACTACATTCAGGATGTTCAACATTGTTAATAAAGGACAAATTTCTGCTTGAGAAATACTTGATGCAAATGGAAACTTTGGTTTGTTTGTGAGAAACTCCCACAGAGCTGCTTTTATCCAAGCTTCATCTTTCCTATGAATATTGTTTAAAATTGAAAAACATACTAACGTGAGACGTTCATGCAACAAAAAGAGAATAAGTCTCACCTTTTAGTTTCCTGTCAACATGTCGTTCCACCAAAACAACCAGTAACATCACTACTAACACAACACAGACTGTTCCAGCTGTCAGCAACACGGGGACAAGTGGAGAGGAACCAGCAGAAGAGGCAGGTGGAGGTGTGGTGGTGTGTTTGTCTAAAATAAAGCAAACACAGTCATTAAGTTGTCGTCACATTGTGAATGTTGAAACCTGCAGAAGCACAGACAGGTGAGTGTGTCACCTGTGACAGTGATCCAGCTGGATGGAGACTCTCCATGACCGCTGATGTCACACTTGTAGAGGCCTTCATCAGACCTGGAAACATGCTGGATGGTCATGTGACCTGTAGGCTGCTTCCTGATGAGGGAGCCATCTTTATAGAAAGCAGCTGGGAGGTTGGAGGGAGTGGTCTTTGTTTTACAGAGCAGAGTGACGTCATCTCCCTCCATCACAGGGAGGACAGGACTCTGCAGGATCACTGATCCACCTCAACACAGAGACAAACTACAGCATTTCATCCATTTACACACAGCTTCATCAACACTAACTCCACACACTCAGCTTACCAGTGACTGTCAGCTTAACCATGTTACTGATGGTACTCTGATTGAACTCACACCAATATATTCCACTGTCATGAGGCACCATCATACTTATATTACAGGAAGAACCAGCTGGTTTTCCCCACACATCTCCACACTGAGTCCTCTGTTGTTTGCTTGTGTTTCTCCTCAGAGTCCATCCAGCAGAGCTGTCGTCCTCCTCACAGCTCAGAGACACAAAGTCTCCTTCAAAGAACTGAGAGCTGCTGGGACTCACAGCCAGACGAGCTGTGAGGGTTAAAAATAAAAATAAAAATGTCATGGTTGTGCAAAGCAATGATGATACAACATTCTTTAAATTAGAATTAAAATACTTCTCATGTGGTTCGGGCTGCCAACCCTAAACATTAAAGAAGAAGAATTTAACACATATTTGACATATTTAAAAGAAAATCACTGACCTTGGTTTGTTATCCTGCAAGGCATTGAAGTCAGAACTAAAGATAAGTAAAACTTAGGTTAGCATGTAAAATAATAAAGACTGTAATTAATTTGGCTCGTCCCATCTCGTCTCTCTCTGATCTCTTGTCCACTTATAATTATGTGAGTAAGTAATCCTTGTGGGAGGCATACATCAATGTAAAAGAATAACAGACTGTGTTTTTGAACTCTTTAAGAAAAAGATCTATTCATATTCATTATTTTTAGCTTGTTGCTATGTTTATATTTATAGTTCTAGTCTTAAGGTTTGTTACTGTTACGTTCCTCATTTCATCTCAAGTCTCCTTTTTCTTTATGTTTGTGCGTCTCCTGTGTGTAGACTGGGTTCTCTCTCTGTCTCCCTAGTCCGCTGTGTCCTCCTGTCTGTTCTTCTCTGGTTCCAGTGTAGAGACTGTGTCTCTGTGCCTTTGTGTTAGTTATTGCTAAGTTCACAAGAACTCAATAAAATTAAATATTGGAAATCAGAAACCCATCAGTTTATTAGCACTGTGCACATTTCTGCTCCCACATCTCTAACACCAAATCTGTAACGCTGTTCCTTTATTGATTATTGGATGTTTTCGAACTCACTGTACCCGATGCATAAGAAACATTTGGAAACATGACCGGTAACAGTAAGCATGAAGTCGCGTGTCCACTTTAAAGTTAAGCTGATATAATAACTAACTAACCTCTGTCAAGTTCACTGGTTCACAGGGTAACATTTCCCCTTTAACCTGCTGTTCAGTCCATTCAGCCTTTTTTCTTCTCCTCCATTATTGTTTATTAACAGAACGGACAGTAAAAATTCAACATTTAAAAGGAAGAAATTCTTCACTTACAGAGCAGAAATAGTAGAGACGCGTCATCCATTGTCCTCTTGACTCATGTGACTCATTTTCTCTTTTTGTCATAGAGACACAGTAAACTCCGCCCCCTTCCCCACATACTTTTCTTGCGTATATGTAAGATGTTTGTAAAAAGTAGGACAGAAATCAGGACAGGAAATCAAAAATATTGTTTAACAGAAGATAGTAAAAGAGCAGGCTCTCTAATGTTGCTTTTTGAAAAACATCCACTCTTTTTGAATTTGAAGCACCGCATGAACTGAGATCTGGGGAGGACCAACTGATGCAGTTTTGAAAGTACAGTTTTTCCCAGACATACGATTTTAGCAGCTCATTGAGCCTCCACTCTGGAAACTTTCTCTGCCAACAAATGGCTCATAAATCGCTTGTGCAGGCTGCTTTCATGCTGTTTTACACCAGTTCTGATCGAAATGCGGAAGCATTAGACCAGACTATGTTTTTACAATCTTCTGTTCTCTGATGTTGGTGAACCTGTGTGAACTGTGGCCTCAGCTTCCTGTTATTAGCTCTACACTCTTGCTGTTGTTACATCCTATGTGCTGTGCATACCATGCTCTTCTGCATACCTTCGTTGTAATCAGTGGCTATTTGTGTTGCCTTACTATCAGCTTAAAGCAGACTGGACTCTGACCTCTGTCATCAACAGATGTTTTTTTGGGAAATCCTAGAAAATCAGAAGTTTCCATCTGGCATCAACAACAATGCCACATTCCCCTTTACTTAAATCACCTAAATCAAATGAGAATATCTGTAACTCTAATGCTGTTGCCATGTGATTGGCTCATTACATATTTGCATAAAAAACAGTGACATTTGTACCTAATAAAATGGTCAGTAAGTTTGTACTGTGATCTGAACAGTTCCTCTTTAATAGCATGTTGATTTCAGTGTTTGTTTCTTTATACATGTTGTGTGTTTCTCGGCCTGTGGGGACAGAAATGAGCTGTTGTGAGTTCCAAGTAAAGCAGTGAAGCTTTACTAGTAAAGCACTGCTATATTAGCAATGGGCTGTGGTTTCAGACTGATATGAGTACAAATGTGAGAGTAACAGATACCACAGAGTGGCTCATCTGTGTGAAACTGGGGCACAAAAAGTACCAGTATATTCAAAAGGTTCAGTTTGCAGGCCTGCATTAACACTAAAAGGTTAAAGATGTATATCATTTAGTGTGAGGTAATATAGAACATTATAAGGAAAAATAACTGATGTTCGTGAAATGTGGATGTTACTCTGAAATGTGCCATCAGCTAAATGCCATTTCAAACCCAACAGCACTCCCCCAACAGGACAAGGATGGAAACAGCATCTGGTGATGTGCATAGGTGGTAGACTTCAGGTGCTCATTGTAGGCAAAGGACTTTAGACCGAGTAAAACCTGTGCTTATATTTAAAACAATGTTAATTTGTCTAATTGTCTTTGAGCCTCTGAAAATGGAGGACTGTTTATAAAAAATGTGTCTTAATTGATTGAATGCAACACACTTAAATTACAGCTGGAAGTTTGCACATCAGTCACATCTTGATTATAGTGTCAAATATTTTGTGGTGGTGCACAGAGGCAAACTATGAACAAACGTGTTTTTTGCCACCAAATGATGTCCATAACTGTAACACCCATTACTGATGATAATACAACTCTGTTACTGTTACAACTTCATTTAATAAAGTGCATGAGATCAGAAACACAACACATAAAGTATCAGAACATGGCTCATCAAATTTGATTACAATACAACTAGTATGTAAGTTGACAAAATACATATAAATACTTCAGAGACACAATCCTTCCCTGAGATTAATGAGCACATATTTTCACATTTATAAAACCTCATTAGAGCCCAAAAACTGAAATCGTTTATTTTTATGTGAATGACATCATGATTTAAAGACTGTGGGTCAGTGAAGAGAAACAGTAACGTGCTCTGTTCTGTTCATCTGGATGTAGCGTTTTCAGTGGACATTTCGTCACTGATCCAAGTGACTTCTTCAGTCAGTCGATAAATTATGATGTAAATTTTTAATATGAATTCTTGTCGCATACTTGATTTTCTAATAATATCTTATGATTTGACAAATTGGAGTTGATTCATTATCACTTGCCTCACTTAATAGACCAGAGAACGCTACCACAACTAGAAACCAGGGTTACACTACTTTCCACTGGAGAAAAGCTGGAAAAGGGTAGATATATATTCTTGGGAATATAATTTGATTCAAAGGTTAGAGCACATTAATAAAGCTGAGAAAAATGTAAATGAGATTTTAAATATAATTAGATAGAGGGCAGCTTTAAAAATGTATATATAGCATTAGTAAGATTAGATGTGGATAAAGTGGATAGGATGCAGGCCAAGGCACTGCGTCTCTGCTGTGGGATAATGAGATCTTTGGCTGCTGTTGATGTGGACATGGGAGGCAACAGCAGCTAAAATTTACTGGGCTTCACTTACAGGTTACAGAGATTTCCATCCAGACGAAAAGCATCTTAACTGGGAGAGAGAAAGGGCAAGGAGGAGTTGTTTTGAGTGGAACGATGAGATCACCAACCATGTTTATACCTCCTACTCATCTCTGCAGATATTGAGGACGGACATTCAGCAAAATACAGCCTTGCAACAATAACATAAAGACAACTGTAATGTCTGCAAGCATGGGGCAAAACAGAACCACAGGTCCTCACTGGCTGGACAAGCACACACACTCATTTATATCATTTCTCAATAACTGTTTCCAGTTGGACCAGCTTCTACATATATCACACAGACACATGTTACAGCATGAGTGCATGTTTTTAACATATAAGTGTAACAATATTTGAATCCTTTAATCACCCATCAGATCTTCATTTCTGGATCATCCATTCAACCAAGTCATTGACAGCACTGCTCTGATACAAAGTCATAGTAGTATATGCACCCTGCTCTCTGCCTTCCTTCCTATTTTAAAACAGTTTGTTTTCTTGTCCACCGTTAAAGCGTTTCAGAAAATTGCATCTATTTTAATCAGTGATGTGTAAAATAGCTGAGCAAATATTTTTAGTGTTAAAATTCAGTTAATGAAAAATGTAAACTTGATAAATAAGATTTGATTCATCAGATAAAAGCACGACAAGTTAAACTTTGTGCACTCAACGCCTCACAGTATCGTGCACCACCACTCCAGAGGAGTAGATGGCGATAATACACTGTGGTCTACAGGAACCAGGGAAGAAAAGATCAAATCCATGGTTTACAGTTTTTTCCGAATGCTTAAACCCAAACTGTGATTCCTGTAGCACAATTTCTAAAACTATTCAGACTTATAGCAAAACCACTCACTGAGTTTGCAAAACTAAAAGCACAAAAACTGCTTTGCACTCAGTTTGCAATTTTGTAACACACACTTTGCAAAACTGTAGGCACAATTCACTGCACAACACTCACTTGAAGTTTGGATCCCTCCATGCTTATGGATCTATGACAGAAGTATGAGCTCAAACTGACATAGCCTACCTTGTGCACAGGGAAAGCAAACGCCAGATGTGTTTTGTATTCATACCATCAGTGTGCAGTTGGCGCATTGTGTGCTTAGTAGATGATGGCTTGTGTGTACTGTTTGATACGGAAACACCATTTTTACGAAGGTGTGAAGAGTTAATCTAGCTGTGTTCGCTTTTGCAAGAGAACTACAATGTTTTGATGATTGGGTGACAGGTTTTCTTATTTGTGTGAAGAGTTTTGCAAAATTAGCCAATAGTTGCAAAAAATGTGCTTAAGCAATCAGAAAAAACTGTAACACTAATTTGCCAACTGTCTGGCACACTTCCACATGTGAAAACTGTTTTAGATAAGTAGTCCACTTTGCAGTCAGCCTAAGCACTATAAACAGGCCACAGGTAAGCTGTCC